CCATTGAAATAGTCATTATGGACTACTCCTGTCCATGGCTCAGTAAAGGCAAAGGAAATTACTATTTACATAACAAAAAGTAATCTATAAGATTTAGATATAAACATGACGAAAATATTACGTGTAATAATAATATAAACGAACTACTGGTACAACGAATTTATATGCAGAATAAAAGAAAGAAAAATCAGAGAAGTGGGAAGCAATCGAGGAATTTAACAAAGCAAATAATGTTTCATTTTATATTGGAATTTCTGTTGTTGATATTTTTTAGGAAGTCTGGAAGTGAATTCCAGTGTTTTACTGCAGCAAATTTAAAATTATGTTGTGAAACTGTAAGTTGAGCAACAAGAATTGACAAATTACCGCTAGACACTGATCCTGTTAGGATAGCAATGTGGGTAATCATTGACATACGTATTGAGGCTAAGTGCATATCTGTTGTGTTTAAGGTCGAGGATACATAAACAGGTTTGTAATTTTACAAATTTTGTGAATATCAAGTATGCGTAATTGAATAAAAAGGGGAGCAGAATGTGCTTTAAAGTGCGGGAAGGTCATAAGGCGCACACTATTTTTTTGTGGGAGAATAAGTGTATTGTAAAGTAGGATGAGAATTGATCTGGCAGCATAGTAACGAGCGGGATATAATGCCCACTTTGGGACTAATGGTCTTCACAATGTTGTCAATATGAGAATTCCAATTTAGGCATTGGTCAATGGTTACTCCTAGATATGTGGCTTTAGACACGCCCTCTATCAACGTATCATTGATTGCGAGCTGTCCTCCACTTTTACTTTCCACTTTTTTTCTTTGCGGGGTTTTCAGGATCATATAGTTTGTTTTTTTCTATATTAATTGTTAATTTATTAGCATTGTACAACATTTTCACAATCATTATTAATATTAGAAAGATCAACAGAGTTAGTTTGCAGGATTTTAAATAAATTTGTATCATCCGCAATAAGGCGGAGTTGAAAGCATCAGTGAAATGGTTAATATTTATGTAGAGAGGAAAATGTAAAGGCCGTAATATTTATCCCTGGGACACGCCGTATTGAATTTGTCTGGATGTGAATGCAGTTCAGTCAATGTTTACTGTTTGGTGTCTATTAGTTAGGTAGCTTTCGAACCACGAAAGCGGGAGACCACTTATCCCATAAAAAGCCAGTTTTTCAAGGAAAATATGGTGGTCAATAGTATCAAATGCCTTTTTTAAGTCAATCAATACCCCAAATGTAGCAAAACCGTTGTCTATGTTGGCAGTGATATCAGAAACAAGGTCATCTAGGGCAAGGGCGGTACTGTATTTTTTGTTGTATGAACAACTGATTTCCTTTTCAACAGAAACAAGTTTTTCAATGTATTCTGAGTTTGTTCCAAGTAGGATGTTCATTAGGTAGTAGCCGTTAATGACGTCGATAATGTCCACAGCCTGTCGCAATTAAACCTCCAAACACATAGCTCCGTATGCTAAAGTTTACGACATCGCATAATTACCAGAAGAAATAACATGTTGGTGAAACTTACCTATCGTTCAGCCAGCAGTAGATGAACGGATTGTACATTGAATTACTCATTCCCAACCAAAACACAGCCATGTAAATCTCACGGGCATTAGGATGACTGTACAATACATCGCTGTAGCTTCGTCCCAGTAAGAAGTAGATATGAACCGGAAGCCAGCAGGTTGCAAAGATAACAACCACTAGAATCATCATTTTCACAACCTGTTTGCAAAACGGTTAAACGTCATATATTGTACATTATGATTTTTGGTCCCACGTATCGACGTCTGTTGCAACGACGAATACTTATATTTGGATCACAAGCATATTATTATGAGGTTATTACGAGGATACATCAAAGTATGCAAGAAGACAGTACAGCAGGAGTATCGACCGACGCGCAGCACGCTGTAACTTATGGCGTATCGGTGACAGGTGTATAATAATTTGCTTTATTTCAAAATGAAAAGATGATTCCAAAAAATAAATACCTGAATGGATGAATTAGAGTAATACACATGGCAACAACTAGTGAACCAAAACCTGTCCCATTGCTGCATCAAGGAAGATCTCATTTTTATATTGTATTTACGCGTCAACATCGCAGTTAAAACAGTGTTGCCGGATTTGTATAAGCGTTCCATGCACATTTCGTCTGTATAAACTGTAAAATGTATCAACATGACCAGTAACACATACTACATTCACACTGCAGTCATATGAATACTCAACCTACCAAAAATATTATATGTATGTATGTATAAAATATAACAACTGTAGATGCCTGTACAAAATGAAAAACAAAACAAAAACATTTCAACCCACTGCCACAGACGCGAAACTTGCATAGTAATACACTAAACTGACGTCTCTGATGGTCTATATGTGTGCCGTCTAAAATATTAATTTTACTTTTGCGACCAAAGTAATTAAACTCATCAAGTAGCTCGACAATTTGTCTGCACAACTCTACTGTCATGACACGATGCAGCGTAATACGTTTGGAAAATGCATTATTTTTCTTCATCTTAAACGATGTCTTTTTCATTGGCATACAGCTAACAAACACAAACCCCTATACAAACAGTGAGCACGTATCATCGACACTACTCACACTCACACACATCAGTACTCGGCCAGACAACCGCAATCTGACTATTTCGACACTAATAAATATATTAGGGTGACATTATCCCTGGGGTTATGGATTGTTTACGGTTCAATTGTAATAATGCCGTGCCTGGATCCCAGTACTAACGTGCGGCGATTGTAATTACCACGGCGTGTCGCTCACAGTATTCAAATGCTTATCGCCAAGAATTAGTAAATACACTTGAACATATATCAAATTGTGGGGCGTATCCTCTCAACATTAACAATATTATATAATTTGATCTGGTTTGATAGTCAATGTATGCACTGATCTGATACTACTACGTATACATTTACTGGTCTTATAATATCACATATATATTACATACACGTAATGTTTCTGAAAGTCAACGGTATTCATTGATTTAATAATATCACATATAGATTACATCCACGTAATGTTTCTGAAAGTCAACGGATTCATTGATTTAATAATATCACGTATGCATCACATACGTACAACGTTTCTACTGTTTATTACAAGAAGAGTTAATCAATGAATCATCTCGATGACGTGATGGTAAACGAAAGCTCGGTGAAGCGAGAACAACACTTCAGTTACTCACGTTATAAAATAAAATAGTTATAATGGAAAACGTTCCGAAAGCAATAACAGATGTAATGAAATTATAATTGATCACTTGAATTTTGCAACACGCGAGAAACTCACTTTTTTACGACTTTGTGTATGTTTTGTGTTTGATAATCATAAATAGTATATTGCTGATTGTGTTTTTCGCACGGAATTGTATATCCTTAGGCAGTTATGATACATTTTCAATTGATTTTCCGCCAATTCGGAATTCGTCATATTAATAGTTATCATGATTGTTGTGCGAAGTATTATCGAATGTGATGTGTTTCGCTTTGAATAAACAATTAGCTTAATATACTGCGAAATTCATGAAATAGTCGCGAATAATAATAGCATCGTAATCTGTTGTAGCAGTTCCTCACTTTGAATTCATTGAATTCTTAACGCAGTGTAAAAAAACAGTTGTTACTGTGATTTCACTTGCGTGTCATATTCTATCCAACAATGTATTGTCCAAAGATGCCTATTTAACATTGCTGAGTGGTAAGAAAATAGATTTAAGTCAACAATTACACAGGAAGTTAGGGTGTCGGCTTGTGTCATGTAAACCATCATGTAGGGTTCGTTTCCGAGCATTGTAAACAAACACTGAAACGATTTTCCATCGGCTTTGTCAAGACAAACCGATAATCCCGACCGTTTACTCCTCTTATAGCAGGAGTAGTAACTATTACAAATATAGATTTGATTCGTACATCAATAGTGTTTTAGACATGCCGACATATTTATATATCTTTGATGTTACAGTGTTACACTAGACATCCCTCGGGCGTAAGTTAACGTTTGTTTCTATATCATTAATTCAACAGTATTATTAGTTATATGACAGTAGCCCAGTTATTCACAAGTAATGACATGTTCGTGTGATCATGAGCAGTGAATGTTCGTACGTCAGCTCCAAAAATATCAAAGATGGTGGCCTCTAACCGTTTGAAGGTTTTTGCCAAAAACACCTTAATCATCCAATCTGATCTAGACATTGCTGATTTCAAGAAAAGTAATACAGTGTGTTCGAATTTAGCGGAATTAATTATCGGGGCAACAGAAAATTGATTTTCATTGTCTCCTTCCAGTAACTGTTAAGCCATATTCACTGTGCTAAAGAGGTTGTTGCAACTATTCCGCATTCATAATACATATAACTGTGACGTCATAATGCATAATAGATCATTCTAACGTCGAAGTGTACCCGCTCTTTTAAGAACTTATGCATTAGTGATGTATATTCTGTATACGTTTTTCCTTCTTGTCAATACAAATGAAACTGAATCGA